GCACATAAAAATCAAGTATCATGCTGTAAGGGAGGCTGAGAAAAATGAAGAAATCAGTCTTCAATATTGCTATTCAGAAAATCAGATTGCAGATATATTCACAAAAGCTCTTCCAAAAGTCAGATTTGAACATCTAAGATCAATGCTTGGAGTCTCTAGCAAAATGCTGAAGGATGAGTGTTGATATGATAACCTTTTTGTTGTAGCAGTGACTTAATTACTGATGCAATGACTTTTGTAATGTATGGTTTTAACATAATTTAAGCAAGTCGTCTGTTGTACTTTTTGTAAAATATATGGTGTAAAAATCCAAAAGTCAGATTTGAACATCTAAGATCAATGCTTGGAGTCTCTAGCAAAATGCTGAAGGATGAGTGTTGATATGATAACCTTTTTGTTGTAGCAGTGACTTAATTACTGATGCAATGACTTTTGTAATGTATGGTTTTAACATAATTTATGCAAGTTGTCTGCTGTACTTTTTGTAAAATATATGGTTTAAAAAATGTGAAGTCTTATGTAGTAGGTAAAATTGGTTGAAAACTGATCAAGAGGGATGTATGTATGTATCAAAAACGTCTTTTGCTATACAGATTGATGTGAACTCTTTGCACTTTGTATCTCAGTTTTCTTTCCAGCAATATCTCTATTTTTCTTTCCAGCAGCTTCTTGGTTTTCTTCCTGCAGCATCTCAGTTTTCTCTCAGCATCATCATCATCAGAAGAACTCTTCTCCATTCAAATACTCACATTTCTGGTATGGCTCAATTTTAGTGGCAAACGGAGAACTCCCGGGAGATGATACCATCTCATGTTTCTTCGGTGTCAATGTAAGCGATAGGTATGGCAAGGATCTTTGTCTTTACTTCATATTAATTGCCTCATGAAGTATTAAGGATCTGATTAACATATCTAATTCCTGAAGGTGATTGGCAATGTCACTATCATACTTCGCACAGTTTGCGCAAGGAACTGTAGCAGCTAGCATATTGTTTGAAGTTATTGACAGGATTCCTCAAATTGATCCTTACAATCCCAAGGGAAGGAAGCCATCTAATACGCAAGGAAAAATTGTGTTCAAAGGCATTTATTTTGCTTATCCATCTCGTTCAACTGTCCCAATTCTCCAATCTCTTAACTTAGTGATCCCCGTCTTCAAAGACTTAGCGCTGGTTGGTATCAGTAGGGGTGGTAAGTCAACAACATTTGTCTCTAATAGATAGATTCTACGATATTATTAAAATTGATTCATGTTTAAGTCGATTTTGTAGTAAAATCGACTTATTTGGTGAAGCTATTGAATTTTATTTTTTTAATGTGTTCTAGTTCATTCTTGTGTGGATCCAAAAAAAAAAAAAAAAACGTTGCAAAAATGTTATTAGTAACGTTCAAAGAACGCTACAAAAATGTTATTCACAACGTTCAAAAAAATGCTGCAAAAAGGTTATTCGTAACGTTCAAAACACGTTGTCGTATCTTTCTATTTTATGGCAATATCGGGGTTTGCAATATACGCATGAACACTACAAAAGGTCAATGGCAATATTTTTCGACTGTTGCAAAAGGCAGTTTTTGGTGTAATGATTTACTTCTCCAAATCATTTAATGAGAACAATGAACAAATGACCATTTTCACCGTCACGGTAAGAAGAAAGTTAAATTGATTGCGTCAACAAGTCAATATTTTTAAGTTTTGAATAAAAATTCATGTTTCAAAATTGATAAAAATACTTACAAAATAAGACGGCAATAGGGAATCCATTTTTTTCTCTAATCACTTGGGCACCCATACACAAGATATATTTCCCACACTTTGAAGATCGTAGAGTTAATTTCCCACATAGTCATTGAGCTTTGCCAAAAGTTTTCAAGAGGCCACCGAATTTCAGAACCTTCCTAAATAGTTATTGAAATTTGCAAAAAGTTTCAAGAGGGTCATTAAACTAGTGATGTATAAGGTCCCAATTTGCAAAATTGAGCGACTCTCTAGAAACTTTTTGCAAAGTTCAGTGACTATTTAAAAAAGTTTTTAAATTCAGTGACCTCTTGAAAACTTTTGACAAAATTCAGTTACTATTTGAGTAATTAACTTAAGATCACAACAAAAATTGTCTACATACAAATCACCGTAACACGACTTTAGAATTTTGAAAAAATTGGGCGATTTATGTATACATAAACATATCAAGTAATAAATATAAATAACATAATTCAATAATTGTATAAATATAATAATATTATAACAATATAAATATTATAATTCAACAATAAGAAAATGGTTAGAATGCAAGTCTTAGAGAGTCACGTCAAGAAAGTTGTCTTAAAGTCGTATTACCTTCTTTTCGTGTGGGTACTTTCGACACTACACAATTTCAAGATAAAATTCATGTGACTCATAGTCGATTCTCCCCATATAGGCACGACCATAGAGAGATAAAGAACGAATCTCTCATCGAGTTATCAAAATAGTAAGAATATGGTATAAAATTGTAGAAAGGATAATACTTCAAGTTGTTGCATCAAACTATAAAAACTGACTCCCTTTTATAGTGTCAAACTTAACCCCCACAATAATTAGCATTATCCCAATCAAAGTATAAGTTACATTATGAAATTATGAGTTTCAATTTTGAAATAAAAATGAAAAATTGAAAATTAATGAGTTTTAAAAATTTGAAACTTAATTTATTTTACAGCACAATCATCTTCGTCATCTCTTCTGAAATGCTACTTAGATTGTTCGAAACCCAATCTTGTAGAAAAAGGGACTAAAACTAAACAGAAGTAAACAAGGAATGATAGTCTATTTTTAGAGTGAGTTTGAGACTATTTTTCTTTAAATGATTTTTTGGAGAACTTGGGGTTAAAAGAGAAAAATTTTAAATTAATATGAAAAATTATTTTATTAAAATAATGAATAGTTCAAAATAAGTTTTTAGAGAATGAAAATCAAACAAGAGCTTAGTATGACAACTTAAACGTGCTTTCTTGTACTTTGAGCTAAAATTGTTTTTGGAGGAGTTCACTTATAATCCTTATATACATCTCACATAAATAAAATTATCATTTTCAAAATTTTGTCTAAGCAAAATATGTACTATCTGCAAGATGGGAGATCTGGTAATATGATTTCAACCCGTTAGAAGTCCCTTCACGAATGAATATAAGAAATATATTTGAATGTTCACTTGGATTAGCAAGATCTGCTGAACAAGTGTTAAATATCTCCCTTTTTTGCATCACTTTTTTAAGTATTATTCTATAAAAAAAAAATTTAAAATCTAAATTGAATATGAAGTTCTAATTTTTGCTTATTATGGTACTTATCTTAAAATATTTTTATCACATTTTTCATCCTCAAGCCTCAACGTTAAAGCTAAATTCTGAAAATAATAATAATAATAATTATTATTATTATTTATTATTATTAATATTAATCTCATTTTATTTGAATATAAAAGAAAAATTATTTTAAAAAACTTAGTTATGATTTTCCCCCATATAGTTTCTTAAAATTGACTCCCAAATTAGATTTGGGCCTTTTGTAAGGAGAAATGCAAGGCCTGGACGAGGACGGAATGGGCTCATACGACTCGGCGCAATGCTGAAGCCCAGTAGAGTCGTCAAAAGCAAGCAGTTTTATTTGGTTATATAAATATAAAGGCTACTTTAAATAGAATTATTGAACTTATTTTTTTGATTTCATGTAGCAGTAAATATCTCATTAGGAAACGACACATGAAACCTATGCTTACAAAATTATCAGGCAAAAGCATTTCTTATATTGATACTGAAGATTGGATTGAGAAGCGATGGGTGGACGAGTACGAGTACGAGGACGAGGACGACCATTAGGAACCTTGCCTTTTATTGCCAATTAGGAACATATTCCAAAAGAATATCACTTTCTTTACCTTCAATGCCTTAATTACTTGTGATTTTATTCGTTTCTTTTATTGCAACAGCCTTTTATTTTTGTTTTGCTTTTTCTAGTGGGTGGAATAAAGGGGGGAATTCTGAGAAAACTTTGTCCGGTATAATGCAGCCATAAGCAATTAAAGAATAAAATTATTTCAGTTTTCCAAGTCCAAGATTGAAAAAAGTGAGAAGAAAAACTCAACTGCAGAAGCACGGCCTGTACTATTAAGCAAGAGGTGTGCTGCTGATACAGAACCCAATTTCACAGAATGGATACAGATCACTCACACTTGGTGAGACTGGGTGAATTTTTGGGCATTTTTTAATCACTGTAGTTGCCCACACATGTGATTGTCCGGCAGAATTCTGTGAGTGAACAGTTCTGTACAAATGGTTTATCCAATTAAGCAATATCGCACATTGCCCGCTCTTTGTTGAGCCTTCCAAACGAGCTTTAAGCCAAATAGACAGCTCCAAAATTGACGCTAAACTTCACCATGAGACGTCAGGTCAGGCTCAACTTCTTGCTTTTTGTAGAGACTAGTTTTAGACTCCGTACAGAATCTAGTCCATTCTTCACCCATAACCAAAACACGTATTCATGCAAACTCGACTCGGACAAATTTGATTATGATTTCCAAAAGAAAGAAAATCAAGGGAAACACAGACTTTCAGAATGACAAAAAAGCTGGGCTAGAGTAGAATCAAGTGATGAAGGTTCTTCGTTTACATTAGTAAAATAATGCAAATTATTCCTTATCGTGTAGCTTCCAAATGCTTCTAGTGCTATTAATTTTAAGTGATGCTACAGTGCCCTCGAGGTTGACATCCGGCTTGTCACAACACATACATGGGGTTGGCATTTTTTTATTCACCTGGATCCATGCACTCCATGTGAGGGTACGGTCATTCTCGTGATGACTGGCGCGAGTCATTTGGCATTTTCCATAATTTTTTACTTTGTTCAGACACTAGTCTGAAAATAAAATAACCAGTAGATGAATAATCAAATCAATCTACCAGATTGTAAAATCCAAACAGGGTAAAAAGCTATGAGTAAAAAAGAAAGACTAGCCAGACTAATTCACATCAATGGATAATGAATCCTATTTCTTGATAAAAGAAAAATATAATTTCATCATTTTCCAAAGAGAATCAAATTAATGCCCGTATGCTAGCTTTCTTTACCATTTTACATACTGGACATGAATCAAGAAAAACTTCACAATCTTTGCAAGAACAAAGATGCCTGCAGGGTAGTATGATTACGCAAGAATTCCGAATGTCACAGCTTCTGCAAATCATGGTCCTCGTTCTTTGTTCTTCTTCACCATTTTTGTGATCGATCATATTACAGTAGGATTCTGCATCTTCAGTTTCATTGGCTGATAAACGGGCACTTTCTTTGAGCTGTTGGATTGTACTGTTCAACGATAGGATCGCCGCTTCGTTTTCTTTCGCTATTCTATGCCATGTCTGATTCTCAATCTCCATTTTTCTAAGAAAATCTTCGAGCTCCATTTTTCTGTTTACCGCCTTTAATACTTCTTCATCCTTCTGTTTGAGCAAAAGCTGAATCTTGGGTTCATATTTCTTGATAAATAACGCAATTTGTTGTTTTCTCTGTTCTCGCAAAGCCAATCTCAATCTGTCGTTCTATATCAACAAAAAGCAAAACATGAAAATCCCAACGACAAAAAAGAAAACAATCAAAATTCAAAATACAACTGATTTTGTTACTTTCTAACCTGTAAACAGATGAACCGATCAATCTCAGCCCTCTGTTTCTCAATCTGGGGACCAGGACCCTGAGAAAAATCCATTGTTTGATGAGGGTTAATATTTCTTTGAACCAAATTCCGTAACGGATCAAACTGTTGTTGAGAGTCAAAATATAACTGATTCAATCCACAATTATTGTCCATCACCAAATCCTGAGGTCCTCCCAAAGGAAATACAAGATTTTCCAAGTAGCACTGTGCTTGAATGGCCATTGAATACAGATTTATAATTGTAACCAACAGCAGAAACACCGAAAAAGTAACGCTATTCCTGTGGTCCTTCTTCTAAACTTTATCCTAACACAAACAAGTTGAAAACGAGAACTTGATCTTGAATGGTGGAGATTTGAAAATTGGTTGTTCGCTCTGAGTAAAAATAGAGACTATAATGTGTATTTATATTGGAATCGAACTGCAAAACTGAAAAGGAAAATAAAGAGGTGGGGGCCTAACCTAGGATTCTTGAATTTCTCTCTCTATTTTTTCTCTATTCTTGCGATGCATTAAAGAGAGATGTATGAGGAGAGGTAAGCAAAAGGATGTACACATGCAGATTTTGTGACTGAACTATAGGGTCAGACATTTCATAACGTCGTTAAATGAGAATTGAATTCCAAGTGGGGGTGCCCCGGTGTGATTATAAAGTTTGAGGAGGAGTGTGACATTTTCTTGAATTATGACTTTTGAGAGAGACAGAGAGAGTTACAGTAAGCCATATGTTCATGCTGAAGAAGGGGACTCCAACAGGATTCATAATTATCTCATCTTCAAAATTTCATACATATTGCAATTTACATTCAACCATATTACATGTACATCAAGACTAACCTCTATATAAGTTGATACATTTTTATGTGTTACAAGTACAGACTTTTTTGACAAATTTAATGCAGGAAACACAACTGTCTTATAAAGATTGGCTACTGTAAAAAATAGTTTTTGGCAATAGCAAATCACATGGAGACAAAAATATGGTAAAAAAATCTATATTGCAGAATAATTCTTTTAACAACACTTTTTTCCAATCAATGATCATATTTATGACACATAGGAGGGTGTCAAACAAAGTGTACACAATGAGTGTACAACTTACTCAATTTATTTGCATTACTATACTTATTCTTCGACCTATGTTCTATGAGCAAGTTGATCCCAGCTTTTTATATCATTGTGCAATCCGTCCCCTACTATGAAAGTTATGTAAATTCAACTATATGAAGTTATGTTTTGCTTTTGAACATGGATTGACTATTAAGCCCCCTATTTGATAACCGTTTGTTCAAAACTCCGTTTTTTCTCATATTTACTTTCATGACACATTGTCACAATAATTTTTTTTTCCCGTAAAATCTAAAATATTTTCCTACTTTTGAACTACCCATTCCCCCAAAAAAATTACTATTCAAAAACTAATTTTTTTTTTTTTTTTCAAATAGTGGTTGTCAAACATGGGCTAAAAACTTCAGTAAGAAGGATGTTTTCATAAGGGCGACATGAAAAGTAAATAAAATTTAAATGACACCAATCTTTGTGAATTAATGAGTTATGAATTTAACAATTAGTTATCTGGAGTAGCAAGCTAGTTTGGTGAAAGACGGCTAGATCCCAATGCTTCCTTTTTATAATAGAGGAAATTACAAAAAAATGTCCATTTTGACATAATCATTTACAAAAATGATCAAAAATTTTCAACGTCCATTTTTGCAATTATTTGAATGAAAGTACCCCTAAGTAACTTTCTATGAAAAGTCATATTAAAATGATGTTCTCGACATTTTAAATGTCATTTTCGATATTTGAATCCGTTTATATTTCCAAATTACACTTGTCAAATCATAATATTAAATGTTATCGACATATCAAACCTTGTTCTAGACATATTAAATGTTCTAGAATGACATTTCATTCTAAACATGATATTTCTCTACACTTTAGATGTTGTTCTCGATATTTCTGTGTCTAGCATTAATTGTGATTTGACATGTGCAATATAAAATTATTTATTCTTTCGTTAAGGTTAAAATAGATAATTTGGTATCAAATTTGACCATTTTTGCAAAGATTGTTAAAAGTGGACATTTTTAAATTGACATATGTAAAATTGGACATTTTTACAAATGCCTCTTTGTAATACTACCTTTTTGACAGTTTTTTGGCTTCAAGTGCGGAAATACTAATTGACGCATTATTATGTCTTCACCAATCGTGTCATAAACTAAACTTACTATCTCATTCCCAATCTCGTGAAGTCTGGTCGTTAGTCCTCTTCGAGGAGCTCCGCCCACAAGTAAGCTTGACTTTATTGAGGGCAGTGTTCATTCAATGTCCATCTATTTCTAATCTTATGTGTGCACATTGTCACTTTTAGTGAGATTGAGTTTCTGCATCCACAGAAGGAAGCGCCACAAGTTCAATAATGTAAAGTTAAAGATCAACTTGCTACAAGAAGAATAAATTGGGGAGTGATAGCACAATTTTCTCTTTTCCCTAATGTATTGCACCCCTTTCAACGTTAGTGGCACGTAATTACCATATATGCGAGATATTCTTTTACCCCTTAAGAGTGATTTGACCTTTCCTTCAATTTCCATAATTATGAATCGATCACTAGCAACCATTACTTGCCGAAATTTGTACATAATGTTGATTTGGTGTAAGTATGGTACTGCCGTATGAGGAAATAACAAACCCTACACCAAACAAAATAATTTTTTTTCTTATTACATTATAATTAAACTTCACTTGTACTCCTATATCCCCATTAAAAATTGATTATCTCTGTCACTAATTTTGGCATTAATTAAGTCAAATAATTAAAACTAAATCAAGTAAATATTTAATTTGCATCGTTCAACAATTTTCATAAATTAGTATTGATTATAGCATCAATCACGATTATTTTACTTTTTACTACTTACTTTTTGGGATAATCACCATTTTAAATTACCGTGAAAATTATTTGAACTCCTTATCTTTTTATACGAAACGGTTGATTTTGCTACCAATTTTACCCATAATTGGGTAATTAAATTTTGGGCATGTTATTTATTTATTTACTTACAGTAAGTACAAATCTTGTTTTCTCTATGGCACCATCTGGAGAGTGGTAGGTTGTGATTGGTGATGCATAATAATCAAAGCTTATCAGATGACTTTGAATCATGAATATGAATCACGTTAAGAAACGTTTTATATATGAATGGCAGACCCACTCTAGAGTTGTTGTCGTATGCTATGATTCTTGAATAAACTTTGACAAAATTAATGGAGTGCCAAACTCTGAATTTATTTTTCTTTATATGGAGGGGATTACTTTCGCCCCGACTTTTCTTTTTCCTTTTTTGGTTATGGTAGGTTTTCGAAATAAATTGTGTTTTTCAATTTCCGCTGTAAATTAAGGAGTTATTTGCATAGAATCCCAAGTCTTCTAACGTTATTGTGCGATTAGTTGGCAATATAGAAAAATATTCTATAGAGGCATCAAATATGGACCATTATTTCCCACATCATTTAATATTTAGAAATGCAATTAAAATCTCTAAATAATCTTTGGTATTATTTGAATATTATTCATACTCACACGCAATAGTTTCTACAAATGTATTTGTTTTCGTTTTTTATTGAATTGAAATGTATTGTCAACTTATAGTCATAGTCACACGATGCAAATGCATTATCAACTTGTACGTTACTTTTTCATCTCAGAAAGTGATGTAAAGCTATGCATGCTCATTTATTGATTGAAAGGAACATTTTCTTATTGTTTCAGTTGATCAAATCTATACACGACAAAAGGCACTTCCTTTTCATGCAGTGCATCTTACAATTAATTCGACCTATATATGTAATATAAGAGTTTAGTGCATGTCATCTGTCCTTCACTTAAGATTCAAGCTACACACTCTAATATTAGAGGTAAAAGACGAAGGACACCATATTTAGAAAAGAAAAGAGAATTGGTAATTGCTTGGAATTAAACTTTAAGGAAGAATTGTGATGCAGAAGGATCCGAGTCGAGTGATGCTGATTTGTCAGATAGCACAAAGATGATGTTGAACTACCATGAGATGGCGGATCGGCGCATAGATGGGAAGTGAATTGCAATTAGTTCCTTGATTGGGGGAATTTGACACGTTTTTGGTAATTTGGCCATAACTTTAACTACGGTTATCAGAATCGCTATTATGATCCTAATCCGGAAAGCTCTCTTCGGCGCGCACATCATGGCCACCAAGCTATCCTTTCCGAAATTTAATTTTTAGTTATTGTTTGCTATTTATCGTAATTTTTTGTTTCACTTTTTCCATATGTTAGAAAACTCAAATTGAGCCAAATTTTTGGCAACCTACTTCTTTTACTTAATATTTTATTCTGGTGTAATTTTGGGATTTTGCCATTTTTGGTAATTTTCCTATAATTTCGTATTTTGCAGCTATTTAACTCAACATGTAGGTTAATTTTGGTCATTTTGCATTATTAATAATATTGAGTTGATTTCAGAGTATTTTCTCTGGTTTCTTGGACATTTTCTTTCGTTTCTTTCTTGCGAATCATCTGTTACAACAAGTCAATAGGATAATCACTATCCTACTCGACGTCAAATTGGTAATGGGATAGAGAGAGCTCGACCAGCAAATTAGATGGTCAAGCTCCCTACAAACTCGATATGAGTGTATATGCTAAATAACATTGGCATCCACACGACGTGCTTAATACACAGTTATTGCACTTGTGATTTGTTGCATCAATACAGATGTTGCCATAATAGCATCATGTATGTTCCTTCCTTTGTTTAAGTCTTCTCCATTACAAGCCAGGACCGGCCAGCAATTCACAGTGTATGATGAATATATATTCAAGCAATATATATCTCATGAGTCATGACCTAACATATATAACGTGGACACTCACAAATGGACTTCCATCAAATCCATAAAATAGTGACTAACACACACAAAAGTCTACGGACACAGAATATTTTTATAACAAAATTAGAGATGGGCTCTCAGCAATTTTAGATAGGGTGGTTTTGAGACAAAAAAAAGTGAGTTGTTTAATATGTGAATCGGAATCCCCACTTAACGAAAATTGTTAAATTGTTTTGTGCATGTTAAAATTTAATGTCAATTGAAATTGAACGTTAAATAATTTGACGATTTCATCTTTCAACTTTAAATATGCTTACGACTATAATGTCGATATTTATAGTTTCTATTACACAAGAATTTAGATTCCCAAATTTATACAGATTGAGAAGTTATTTTCCAAAGGCTTCTCCTCACTTGAGCTTCGAGTCATCATCTTACGATCACGTCCTAACGTCCAAGACTGAGTGTTCCACGACAAGCTGTGTGGATACTTTTATTGGGAACTCTGTTTGTATCCATTTTCTGCAGTGAAGAAATGCATACACAGTATTACTTATGGGGTCCCATTAGTCTTTCAATCTTGGCAGGTTTTCCTGCAATCCATGTGAATTCTTTCACCAAATTTATATAGATTTGACATGTGTATGCATAGATCTCCATAATTGACTAATAAACAGAAAACTATACTTTATCACTATCTTTGAAATATATATTAATCTGACAATTTCCCAGTGCTGCTGCAACTTTACAAATTACAACCAATTATGCTTTGTCATTTTT